AAGTATGAAAGAGTTTACTGAGCACAAAATGCAAAGAAAGTCACTGTAAGGTCCCCCATATGAAAACACAGGACATACCCGACTTCAGAGGATACCCGGGTACACAAAAAGAGATGAACAGAAGTGAATTTGCTTTGTCTATGAAAGAAACTGCAATAACTAAAAAGAAGAAATAGTCTCTGAAATAAAAAATAAGAGGAAGAACAATCTGTTGTCATTGTTTCAAACATATCCTTTCCAAGGTGCATTCAGTGTTTTGTTGTCTGAAATACCACCAATTTCCCCGGTTTGTACAGACATTTTCACACAAAAACAAATACGCAAAAGCAAAAACCTGGTGTTGTGTCTGTAAGATAACCATCTGTCAGGGTTAACACATATATGCACATAGAGATGAATGGAATCCCTGAATCACCCAGATGAGACACACCCCTTCAGTTGTTTTGTATGCTGGAATCAGGCTGTTTCTTTCACTTGGTCTTGCACAAAGCTCTTGTCTACTTGTAAAAATGCTTCTGACACGGTAAACAAAATTCCACACAGGTTCCTCAAAGACAGTAAAACTGAAACTGTGTTCGTTGGCTACAGTTGCAAATCAAGTATGAACAGAGAATGGATGGCTCCTAAAAATAGAAGGAAATTCATTCCTTATCTGAAGTTAATGACAATTTTTCCATTAACTTGCACGACAGAAACCATCTTAGAGGGGGAAAAGATGTTTTCACAAATAAATATCTGTTTTTATATTTTTAAAAATCTATAACTTTGCTTGTTGACTGGCTAATTTGGCATTAGGTCAAGTTAGTTAAGGCAGAACTTGGGAAACAGACACAAACGGCTCCTCACAAACCAACTCCACGTGGGCCTCGTTTTTCTTCATTTAAAAAAAAACAAAAAACAATGAATTAATTGCATGAACTGCTGCACACTTTCATTTTTTTAAGATACTAGAAAAGGAGTAAGCAAGGGACAGAAGATGGTTGCAGTTATATTGTTATATATTGTTATATCCCCCTGAAGGCAGGGGAATGCAGTTGGTTCCATTTGTTTGTCTGTTTGTTTGCAGTCTAGTGTCCACAGGTTTCAAAAACATTATTTTCACATTTTGTGTGGTGACAGATAACAGCAACAGCTAATTTCATTTTGGTGAAAATTGAGTCAATGTCAAAATCAAGTTCAAGGTCAGACCAAATGTAAAAGTTGGTAAAAAAAAAAAAAAGTTCACTCTAAATTTAAACTTTTATGCAAAATATTTTATGGATAATCTTCAAACATCATAACAAGGTACTAAAGTTGACCTTGAAAAATTTGTTCAATAAACCATATTGATTAATTCATCACAGGAAAGGGCATCGAGAGAGCTCTACAGCACACTTTTTAATTTTAATACATCGCTACAACGTCACTACGATGCGTCTTTTACTACAATGTCACAATGCCATAACAAGCCGATGTCATCACGCTGTAATTAAAACATCATAAAACATAACGTTTTTTTAAATAAAAAGGAATAAATAAAAACATTTTTTCAGCTGGACTCATTAAATAAAGGAGCATATAATATCACACTAATTCAGCATTACAAACAGCACAATCAATTAAACATACAATATACAACATACACAATATAAAATAAAGTGCAGCTCGCACTCTTATACTCTTATGGTATTTTTGAGAATCATGAACATTTCTTTTTTCAGTTTTCAATCAATCATTCATCTTAGTTTTTGATATGATAATGATAATATCATAAAGAGCATAAAAAATAAATAAAAAAATTATAATGCAGAACAAAACTGACTGTCAGGAAGGTGAAAACAAACTGATGATTCAAAGTGAAAGCAATCCGCAGGGAAGTATAAAAAACATCAACAACCCCGTCCCAATCCAGACATTCACATTGTACATTCTAAATGTTTCTCTGTGCTAATTTAGAAACAAACTCATTATGAGAGGTACTTAAATCTATTGTCTGTAGCTGCCGGCATTAGCACTTGAAGGAATGTTGATGGCAGTCTGCTGAAAAGAAAATCTGACTTCGCTGGAAAAAGACAAAAAAGAACCGAGGTGTCAGTCAGGCATTTGGCAAAAACACCAAAGTCTTCCTGGGAACCTGCGTTCCCAAGAAGCCAGAGCTGTGTGTCAAATTTCACACTGATGTTTACGTCTTTTAATGTGTGTGTGAATGAGTGGATGACTGGTTGTGTAAAGCGCTTAGGGACTAGTAAAAGCTCTATACAAATACAGGCCATTTACCATTTTTATGAAAAGCAATGCAAATTGCAAAGTTCGACCTGTACAGGTGCGAGCAGTTGGCACAACAAACATGCTGAATGCAGACTTACAGGGCTAGTTGGACATTTTCAAATATCATTGTTACTATGTTTGACTGTCTATAAGTATAATATTATAGATACGTGAAATATGTGTTTTTAGCAGAGGAATTCAGTTCATTTTTACTGATTGTTTTTTTATCACAAGCTAAAGAAAGCAGAAGAATCTAAACTGAAACTAAACTACAAAAGCATCTCCTTTTACCCTCATGTCTCTGTAGTCATTTAACTGTAACACTGCAAACACTTGATCAGTTGAACTCCAGGTGTGACGCACACACACACACACACACACACACACACACACACACACACACACACACACTGTTGACCCAAACTTTGTTTGCTAAACTAACATTAAATTAAAAACAGGCCATTCTAGTTAGGGGACAGTTGTGCTTCCTGGCACCGTGACGATAATGTAATTGAGTGAGGTTGAGCTTATGTTCTCAAACAGATGGAGCCTACCGGCTGGTTATTGTGTGCTTTCCCTCTGACAGCCTGAAATGATTCATGGAGCTGAAGAAGAGGAGTTTTTTATATATACATGAGCATGACGGGCTGTCATGGAGGCACTTTGGTCCCCTATCGTTAGATGTATGATTTTCATTTTTCCTCTTCGTACTCATTGGTGTTTGACACGACATGTATAACAATGCTCGCCTAGAAGTTCTCGTGAAAATAGCTGAAATAGCGATGCATGTGCATAAACATGTAGCCCACCTGTCAACTACCATTACCTAACAGCAGCCACAGTGTGAGAAATGAGTGAAAGGGAAACAGGACTTTTGAAATAACATGTCAGTGTTTCATTTCCAGAAAGTGACACAGCTGATATCCTAACCCACTGATTTGTGAAACACCTTATAGCTGATTACCCAACGAATTCCTGTAGTCAGTATTAGTGTGACATAAAGATGTTTTAAGGACAGAAAGGAAAAAAAAATCTTTCTTTGATAATTATCAGCAAGTTTACAAAATGTGAGTGTCTGATTGAGCATGTGAGCCTTTTTCCTTTTTCTTCACAGATACGATGGCATTAAAAATGGAGGAAATGAGCACGGTGGGATTTTTTTTCTTCAGCGATGTGGAAATGGAAAAAAGCCCCATCAATTTTCAAAATAAAGTTTTCCTGTAACACTTTGTATTTGGGTGACGGATGATTGGGATCCAGAGAAGAAGAAAAAAAGAAGAAGAAACTAGCGTGAGACAAAAAACAGTAAATGACACACAACAAAACACAAAATGGAAAAAAGTCACAGAAGTAAACTGCTCTCAATCATCACCCTTTGATTTAGTTGGATCATCTTATATTTATTTCATTCTTCTGCTTTTATTCTGTTGTTTTAACAGACAATCTTATGATCTACTGAATTGCTCACCAACCACTTTATTAGGTACACCTTACTACTCATTTCTTCATGGTTCAGCGAGCTGCTGGAAATACTCCTCAGAGATTTTGGTCCATATCGTTGGGACAGACACAGCTGCTGCAGATTCGTCCATGACGTGACTCTCCTGTTCCACCACATAGTGTGCTTTGTTGGATTGACATCTGGTGACTGTGGAGGCCGTCTGAGTGAACTCGCTGTCATTTTCAAGAAACCAGTTTGAGATGATTTGAGCTTTTTCATGTGGTGTGTTATCCATCAGATGATGAGTACAGTGTGGTCATAAAGTAACACTATTACACCACCAGCAGCTTAAACCATTGATGCAAGTCAAGATGGATCCATGCTTCTATGTTGTTTACACCAAATGCTGACCTGATCATCTGAATGTCGCAGGAGAAATTAAGATCGACCAAGCAGTCGCCAAATTTTGATGAGCCCATACTAAATATAGTCTCAGTTCTGAGTTGTTCGCCATCGTTAGTGGTGCACTGTGATCTTCTGCTGCTCGACGTGTCGTGTGCTCGGAGATGCTCTTCTGCATTCCTTGTTTGGAACGAGTGGTGGTTTAAGTCACCTTCCTCGCAGCAAGCTGCCTGCTCTCTTCTGAGCTTTGGCAAAAGTGATTTGTCTTCGCCCAGAGAACTGACGCTCACTGAATATTTTCTCTGTGTTCACTTATTCACTTATTCGGTAACCTCTGATTGGCTGATCTGATATTTGCTTTACCCATGTTAATGAGCAGTTGAACAGGTGTTCTTAATAATCTGAGTGTCATAGTTTGCTAATTAGAGCTTCTTTAATATATTTAACTGATTAATACATTTACATTATAATGGGATTATCGGTTAGCAGCTTATTCCTGTTTTTCATATAGCTCAACGACCAAACAGGTGAGCTTCACTTATGCCTGATACCTTGTGATTAAATGAACACAAATAAATTCATGAACTACCAGCCTGTCTCATGTGTGGTTTTTTTAACCAGTTCACCATCTTTTCAGACCGCAGTTCCCCTCTGGTACAAAGAGTGTGAAAAGTCACAGATGTTAATAATTACCTGAAGAGAGTTGTTGCTGCTGTAAACTGTCACCGTGAGCAATCACTGTGACACAAACTGGAGAATTCATTTTATATTTGCGTCTGTGCTCTAAGTATGTGTCGCAACGTCTTCATTTAAAGACATTTCAAAAACATGTGATGACACAAGCTGTATGCTGTGTGCTGTAACACATGGGGAAGGAGACAGGACATTGGGTCAGTGCTGCGCAAAATCCCCAAATTGTATCATGTTTAAAGAGTTGCTCTTGAACATCAGACTCATTTGGGTGCCCAGCCTTTGTCATCTTTAGAGGTGAGTGTCTGATTTAACACATTCTTCTTATATAGATGGGTACACATGAAAAAATGAATAAAAGGGCAGAATTAAAGTGATAAACTGGGACTTTTTATATATAAAATTACATCATATATACCAAATATCATACCAGAAAAAATGACAAAAGACTTTTAAGCTACGAAACATATTTTAAGCCTTCCACTTAGGAGCTGATACAATAATCGTAGCTTATATTAAACAGATATTTCTCTGTAATCTAATTACTGAGTCACTGTATCAGTGTTTCCTAATTGTGCTGCATCTTATTTAACTTTGAGTCTTATTTTCATTGGACAGTCACGCTATGTACAATAGTACAACAAAATTGGAGTACTGAAAGCAAATTATAATAAATAAATACCACATCTAGAGAATAAAATATATATAATATGTGAAAAAATAAAACGAGTTAATCAGATCAGGCCAGGCACTTCTCTGGAGGTTATAATTTATTAAAGATGTTCTTTAAGCTGTCACAGTGGTAGCTGTTTAGTTCAGCACAAGTTTGATTTAAAGCTACGAAAGGCAACTTTTGCAACCACAAATTATACCATTTTTACAAGTCAAAAAAAATTAACTTATGTCCATACACTTCCTGTGTTTGCATAGTGTTGGTAGTGCACTAATATCATTCTGTTTCCCATCTACAGCCATGTCATTTTTCTATGAGTTTGAAGAAAATTACTTTGAAAATGACTCCATTGTCAATGGGTCCAATGCATCCAGCACATACACTCCAGATCTAGATACCTTAGAATGTGGATACAAACCAATGGAACCTTTAGCAGCTATTATCCTATGTAAAATCCTCATAGGCATCTTCTTACTGGCTATACCAGGAAACATGCTGGTAGGATGGGTGATCAGGACCAGCCAACAAACTCTGACTCCATCAGATGTGTACCTGTTCCACCTGACCATAGCAGACGGACTGATGGCTCTGACGCTCCCGTTCTTTGCTGTAGCACTGATCCAAGGATGGATCTTTGGAGACTTCCTGTGTAAATTCCTCAACCTCGTCATGGATGCAAACTTCTACACCAGCATCATCTTCCTTGCCTGTATTAGCATCGATCGTTACCTTGTGATTGTGCACGCCAGGGAGACACTCAAGAGCCGTCAGAGGATGTGCAGCAAAATGCTCTGCACAGCGGTGTGGGCCCTCGGTTGTGCCCTCGCTCTTCCTGCTCTTTTTAAACATGTCAATAAGAAGATGATTTGCTCTGTGAGCTTTGACATCGGCAGCTCCACCGTATGGCGGATCGCCACTCGGGGCTTCATTCATATTTTTGGCTTTTTGGTCCCTGCGATTGTCATGATCTCCTGCTACAGCATCACTGTTGCACGGCTGCTGCTCACTCGTGGTTTCCAGAAGCACCGAGCCATGCGGGTGATCATAACCGTGGTGATTGCATTTCTGCTCTGCTGGACACCATACCAAATAACCATCATGGTAGACATACTGCTGAGGGCTAATGTAGTACAGTTCAACTGCGCTATGAGGAAGTCGGTGAGCACAGCGGTGGTTGCAACCCACTGCCTGGCTCTGCTGCACAGCTGCATCAACCCTTTCCTCTACGCCTTCGTGGGAGAGAAGTTCAGGAAGAAGATGAAACTGCTTCTTCATAGAAAGCTCAGACAGGAAAGGATGTCAGGGTCAAGGTTCAGCAGGTCAACATCTCAGACCTCAGAGGGCATTGGAACAGTTCTCTGAGCGCTGGGTGAATTTTTTTTTATCTCAAGACTTCTAGAAAACAAACTGCTTTTAAATATATAAAAGAAGGAAATATTGGTCGTTTTAATTTGTCTAGTTGTCCAAAGTTTAGTTATTAGAGTAAATCCTCTCTGCACCATTTAATACATATTAATGCCACTGAATTTGCACCAAAATCATGGACTGAATAGCAAACATGGCCACCAGTAGAATCTGCGCTCCATTAAAAAAATGCAAGAGCCATATTTTTTTTATTTGGCTCATGTAAACTATTTAAAGTCTCATGTAGGGGAATTTGGACCTGATGATGTCATCTTACAGCTGTAAATATCTTTTTTTTTTCCATTTCCTGACTTTTTTTTTTTTTAGGTTTTTTTTATTGCTTCTGTTCTTTTTTATATTGAACTTAAAAAAATCTTAACTTACCTTTAATGTATCTAGTCTTGTTTGCCCTCACAGTTTAGATTTCAGATTTGAAAGACTTCCTGCTTTTGCTTGTTTGCCAAATCATGTTGGAAACTATTTGTTTTTAAAGGTGCTGTATGAATAAAACTGTTATTACTATCATGTGCGAGCAGCTAAGAGGATTAAATACATATTCAAGAAATAAAATGTAGCTTTTTATGACAACTGGTTTTTAATTGACTAACATTTTTATCTATTAGCTACTATTGTTACGCACAATCAACTAAACCAACTGCGACTTATGGTAGATGGTAGATTACTTATAAGGGTTTAAAATAAGATGAATAATTACAAAGTCCAGGTCTCTTTTCTCTTGCTGCAGGGTAGTGTGGATATTGTGTATTATTTAAATGTCCTTGCCCAGATTTCATATTACGTTTACGTGCTGCATTGCTGCCATCTAATGGACTCACTTTGGTAATAAGGAATTTCCTCTATCTGGATCAAGTTCATGTTCATTTTTACACACAACTGAATTCTGTGTCATTCTGTTTCAAATCAAATTAAATCTACTTGTTACAACTTGTATAAACATTTTATGGTATAAAGTTTGAACATATATAAAAAGTTTTCAAGAGATATATTTTTCAAAAAGGCCCATTAAAGCAGGCTGAATGTATATATACATGCATATATATACAGGGAGTGCAGAATTATTAGGCAAATGAGTATTTTGTCCACATCATCCTCTTCATGCATGTTGTCTTACTCCAAGCTGTATAGGCTCAAAAGCCTACTACCAATTAAGCATATTAGGTGATGTGCATCTCTGTAATGAGAAGGGGTGTGGTCTAATGACATCAACACCCTATATCAGGTGTGCATAATTATTAGGCAACGTCCTTTCCTTTGGCAAAATGGGTCAAAAGAAGGACTTGACAGGCTCAGAAAAGTCAAAAATAGTGAGATATCTTGCAGAGGGATGCAGCAGTCTCAAAATTGCAAAGCTTCTGAAGCGTGATCATCGAACAATCAAGCGTTTCATTCAAAATAGTCAACAGGGTCGCAAGAAGCGTGTGGAAAAACCAAGGCGCAAAATAACTGCCCATGAACTGAGAAAAGTCAAGCGTGCAGCTGCCAAGATGCCACTTGCCACCAGTTTGGCCATATTTCAGAGCTGCAACATCACTGGAGTGCCCAAAAGCACAAGGTGTGCAATACTCAGAGACATGGCCAAGGTAAGAAAGGCTGAAAGACGACCACCACTGAACAAGACACACAAGCTGAAACGTCAAGACTGGGCCAAGAAATATCTCAAGACTGGTTTTTCTAAGGTTTTATGGACTGATGAAATGAGAGTGAGTCTTGATGGGCCAGATGGATGGGCCCGTGGCTGGATTGGTAAAGGGCAGAGAGCTCCAGTCCGACTCAGACGCCAGCAAGGTGGAGGTGGAGTACTGGTTTGGGCTGGTATCATCAAAGATGAGCTTGTGGGGCCTTTTCGGGTTGAGGATGGAGTCAAGCTCAACTCCCAGTCCTACTGCCAGTTTCTGGAAGACACCTTCTTCAAGCAGTGGTACAGGAAGAAGTCTGCATCCTTCAAGAAAAACATGATTTTCATGCAGGACAATGCTCCATCACACGCGTCCAAGTACTCCACAGCGTGGCTGGCAAGAAAGGGTATAAAAGAAGAAAAACTAATGACATGGCCACCTTGTTCACCTGATCTGAACCCCATTGAGAACCTGTGGTCCATCATCAAATGTGAGATTTACAAGGAGGGAAAACAGTACACCTCTCTGAACAGTGTCTGGGAGGCTGTGGTTGCTGCTGCACGCAATGTTGATGGTGAACAGATCAAAACACTGACAGAATCCATGGATGGCAGGCTTTTGAGTGTCCTTGCAAAGAAAGGTGGCTATATTGGTCGCTGATTTGTTTTTGTTTTGTTTTTGAATGTCAGAAATGTATATTTGTGAATGTGGAGATGTTATTTTGGTTTCACTGGTAAAAATCAATAATTGAAATGGGTATATATTTGTTTTTTGTTAAGTTGCCTAATAATAATGCACAGTAATAGTCACCTGCACACACAGATATCCCCCTAAAATAGCTAAAACTAAAAACTACCAAAAACATTCAGCTTTGATATTAATGAGTTTTTTGGGTTCATTGAGAACATGGTTGTTGTTCAATAATAAAATTATTCCTCAAAAATACAACTTGCCTAATAATTCTGCACTCCCTGTAGTGTATAGTATTTTTTTGTTTCCCAAGAGACGTTTTACTGTATTTGGAATTCGGGGGTGACTACTTATGTAAACATGCCTGGTCCATGACTGGTACAGGCGTAACTGGGACATAATAATGCCTCACTGAACCACTGATCAGTGGGCCTTGATCAGTGGTTGTTGATCACTGATCGGCAGAAGCAACAACTTCACAGCAGATGGCGATGAAGGCAAAGGAAGTTCCGCTCTCTTGTCTCAAGGGTTACCGCAGCTTCACGTGGGATACCCTTCCTGGCGAATATGAGAAATAAATAAAAATCAGAATTAGAAGAGACTCTTGTGCATGTATAGTACACAATCTACGGGTTACTGTTGTATCAAAAATCCAACTCTATTGGCTTTAGTAAGCGACATGGTAGAGATCAAGGCTAAAACTAGTTTTCCCAGAAGTCAGAGCGAAAGAAAGAAGGCGCTGCATCTCAAAAGGAACGCACAAGGTATGCCTTGTTCCTCTTCGTATTTACCAGGATTAGAGATATGTAAACTCCGCTTCATTAATGCAAAGTCTGTCTGATGGTGTGACGCCAGATAGGTCAGCTAATAGCTTCAAACACTGTCATTTATTAGTGGCAGTGAAGGCGTCACGACGGCACTGTTTTTATGCCCATGTGCTATTAGCCAGTTGGCTAGCAGCCTCAGTTCGGGGTGATTGAGCTACAAACTGAAGTCGGCACGTCTCGGTCGTTGTTCCAGCAGCACAAACAAATCTCCTAAATACAGCCAGGTTTGGCAGCTAACGTAGGAATAAGTCGAGCTAATGTGAAACACTGACATGCTAACACACTTTGCTTCCCTGTGAAGTAGTTGTGTAACTTGTTGTTCCCTAAAATTTGGAAATGAGGCTGAAGTTCAGTCAGGAGAAAGCCAGATCACTCCTGGAGTTGTGCTGATGTATCACGCTAAAATAAATAAATAAGAGGTAAGAAAATTGTTTGGTAAATTTTGCCCAAAGTTTAGCAACATTAGCATATGTTAGGGCTGTTTTTGTTGTGCATCTGCACTTTATTGTTGTCAATGTCTACGCATGGGACAGTGTGAAACGTAATTTCAATTCTTTTGTATGGCAAGTACATTTGAAGAAATTGACAAATAAAGTTTTCTATTCTATTCTATATAAATGCACAATATTTGCGAGTTTTTTAGTAAGTCAGTAAACAAGATTAGGCTACCAGTCTAATTGAAGAAAAAAAAAACTCAGATTATTTTCTTAAAAACTCATTTTTTCCACTTCGGTGAAGGAGCTGCTTCAAGTTACAACAACACATACTGGGGAAACGTTACATAGGTGAATACGGTTTTCCACGTCTCTGCGCATGCTCCGTTTAACCTCCGCCTAACCTGCCATGTGTCTGAATGTTTCTGCCGCTCATTTATATGGAGTAGGTAGCAACAGTAGCACCAGGTTACAACCAGCAAGATCCACGGTTTCCCTCGGAGTTACTCGAGTTCAGGAGCTTCTCCTTCTCAGTGAGCCTCACCTGGCGATTCTTCGAAAGAGCAACAGGGTTTGCAGCAGCACCAGACACACTTATCAACTAGAAACAGCATGCTTTTCTCATCTATCTATCTGTCTGTCTAGCTACAGCCCTCCACTGAATAAGTGGAAGATATTTAGTGCATTAATTATAAAAAGCTTCACCGGTTGTGGTTATTTTTTTATCCCAATGTGATTGCTTATATAGAGCTTTTATATATAAAGCTTTTAATACTAGGCTGCAGTCAAACGAGGCCACTGCACTGTTGTTGTCCTTTTCACCCACAAATTAAAACATATTGCTTTTGTCTTAATATAACAAGGAGGCAGTTTCTGCCAGATAGCTAGCTGAGCCTGGATACTACTTCTAGTAGTGCACAGCTACATATAACAGTGCAGATACAGCCGTGTAGGGGCATGCAGGGTAATATCTACGCCAGTTAGAACAAGCACTGCGGCAACACCTTGGAATATAAGGGAGCATCTTAAATTACCCATAGTGGTATCTGTGGCTGGATTATTAGTAGTGTGTTGAGGCCATGGCTTAGGTACGACATAACCATATAAACCAGGCTTGGGGCCCAAAATCGGACAGCAAAGACTCCAGTCTGGCCAGCTGGATGTCTTTGGAAAATATAAAAATGGGTGTACATTTTGGACTTTCACCTGTATTTTCATTAATTTTACAGTTTTGCCTACTGATTGTACCTGATAGAAGCTATAGTTTCTGCTTGCCTACTCAGATGTGACACTGACACAGACTAAGAACTATAGTAGATTGTTTTTGTGGTAAGATGCCTCGTAAACACAGTGTATGGTTATCGCAAAGCACATGAATGAAAAACTTAAGTAGAAAATACAAAAATTAATTATAACTTGGATTTAAACATCGTGGAACAACTGCTTGTTTTCTTTTTTGTTTTTTTAAAAAAGGCTTTCATGCCCCTCAGGCGTGCAAACGTTGCACTGCCGTCACTGTTTTGGAAGGCGCAGCAGAGCAGTATTGATAAGAGTTATTGATAAGTATGGAGACACACAGGTCAGGTGGATTGCAGTTCTAGGAAGTGTTTTTCAATATCTTCCAATATTCATGGAAACGCACAGAAACATTTGGTTTACTGCAACACGTGAAGAAAACTGTCAAATCGGGGGTGGGGGGGCTTTGCATGAAAATCTTGTTTGTCACACAGATTAATAGTAAGAGTTAAAGCTAAGACCTGCTGTGTCAGAACAGACTGCGCAGCTCACATGATTGATTTTGTTTTTCAGGTGAACAATGACATTGGACTGAGCGGCTGGAAAGCTTTCTGTCTGACAATGTCAGAGAGAGGAATGGAGCAAAGGTCAACATTTTCTCTTACTCGCCAGCAGCAGCATGTAGCTTTTTAACCAGCTCGTCGGATGGTTCGTTCTCTCCAGTTCAGCCCTCTCTGACACAGAGAGGCAGAGGAGTTGAGTTTGTTTTCTTCATAAATTCCAGGTGGAAAGTCGGCAGCTTTTCTTATCGAAAAGAATCCTTGCATGCTGATTCGATAGCGTGAGGGGGGGAAGAAAAAGTTACACGCCTGTGCAATGGTAGCAGAGGACACAGCAGGAAGTGGGGACAGATCAGATGGGGAGAAAGAGATGGATCAGAAAGCATCTGAAGACGCCGAGCGGCAGGAAGACGGGGATGTAGCGATGGCCGCCACTGCCGCAGAGTCTCCCTCTGGAGAGGATGAAGCCAGAGATCCCAGAAAGTGGAAGTGGTCTGTGATTTTCTTGTGTTTCTACGGGTTTATGTCATCCATAAAACCCGGGGAGCCCTTCATCACGCCATATCTGCTGAGCCCTGAGAAGAACTTCACCAGAGAGCAGGTGAGTGATGCACATTTCTCTGCGTAATTTGATGAAAGTTTGTGTTGACTGGTAACCTTCCCATTAGGGCTGGGCCATATCCTATTGTTCACGGTAATACCGGTATAATGTTAGGCAATGATAAGAAAATGAAATATTGTGATAAAATATGGGTAAAATGCGCGCGCAGTGCCTTTGTTTTCATACGCGCATAGCGGAAAAAGCACGGCGGCAGCAGAGAATGAGAAGGGCGAAAGTGGATGAAACAGATGAACCAGAACTGGTTTGTAAAAATGCTGCAGCTTCAGTGGTGTGGAACTGGTTTAGCTTTCGTCCGTCAGATACACAACAAAGCACATTATTTGGTAGAGCATGCTAGCGGGCCGTCGTTATTACCGAGCCGATTTTATGTACACGGCGCTCGAAAATCTGTCAAAAAATGGTTCAGTACGACTTTGCTAAGCTAAGAAGCCGCTTGGCTTGATGGATTGTCGGAGCATTACGGCTATCGTAGTCAGGAGCCTCGTGCAATAATACGTACTGTGCTTCAACATAATATTACCGTGTTGTGTGTGGATAACCTCTTTTTAAGTTTTGTGGATGTTATACATGGTTATGCTGAGGATATGTCGGCCAGTTTCCACTGGAAATGCCTTTTGGTTAAACTGTCAGCGAGGAATTTGCATTTGCACTGTTACATGTTTATATAACTTTAATGCAGATAAAAAACAGCTGCTTGTTTAAGTGAAAATACATTGATGGGGTTTTTTGCACTAATAAAGTTGTGGAGTTGTAAAGTATTTTGCCTCACGTCAATTATATCGTCAGTTATATCGTTATTGCAAATTTTCTAATGTATATTGTGATAAATATTTTTGGCCATATTGCCCTGCCCTACTCCTCATCAACATTACGAGAGACAAGACCTTCCAGTTACAGTCCTGCTTACAGGAGTTTTGCAGAGTTGAAAGTCACGAGCAGTCCAAAAAGTTAACCTCTGAGACTCTAACAAGCTCTGCAGTTAAGCATGTATTGCACAATAGAATTAATGAGTTCCCTGTGGGGAGTTTACTGATCCATGTTACTGTGGTCAAAGTTCACATTCCTTCAGAGTGGGTCAGTGTAACTGCATATGTGGAGTTAGACTTGTTTGTAGAGTGGGATCACTGGAAAGTGATCACTGTTCTTGTTTTCCTATTGGCCTGGCCATAAGCACGAGGTGAGCTGCCAATGTGTCGACAGCTTGTGGAAAAACACTTCCAAAGACCAGAATAGCAGGTTTACAGCAGAGCTGAACTCCATGTAGAAATATCTGTTTACCTGTGAGGTTATTTAAGAGCTTTAGTCCATCGATTTTCCTGTTTTTGGGATTCCAGGGAACAAGCAGTTTATCTGTCATCAGTCCTGGTGAAGCTGGTATTTGTGAAACAAACATCAGTGCCAGACAGATGTCGATGCTTTAACCAGTTCCACTGTCATGAAGTCAGCTGTGATAGAAGTCAGTTAAACAGAAGGTGATTGGGGTGAATCTAGGGCTGGGCGATATGGCCTAAAATCCATATCGCGATATAATTTGAAGCACGTGCGGTAACGATATATATCTCGATATATTCTTTTCTTCTGTATAACGTGTTTTCCACACTATAAGGCGCACTTAAAATCCTTTAATTTTCCCAAAAATTGAGAGTGTGCCTTATGTATGAATCCTGGTTGTGCTTACTGACCTCGAACCGATTTTGGTGTGCAGAAATCTGTTAAAAATGTTTTAGTACAACTTTGGTAAGCCACTGCTCGATGGATGAAGAAACACAAAAGGTTTCTTTATTTTTTTCACATGACTGCACAAAGTCATGTGAAATTTCTCTTTTTCACCCCCACTGAAGCCACAGCTGTTATTCATCAGTAAAAAAAACCCTCCCCTTTATCTTGTACACTGTTACGACTGTTACTGTGACCATAACAGTGTGCATAGTTAAGATAGTAGGCTGGTATTTGCAAAATACTAAAGTGATGCAGAATTATGTTTTGCATCGAAGCTCTTCAGCAACTACTCCGGCAAAAATGCAGAACATTTGCTTGATGAGGATGGTCAGGGGATTTTGAGTTATTGGTTGGCCAAAACAAGCAATATTTGCATTTGCATTCATGATCTTTGTCATATTTTAATTGTATGTTAGTTGTATCCTTACAGATGTGAAGAAGAATGCCAGCAATGTTGGTTTTTATTTACAGCTTCGTTGAACTTTCTTTAACCTTCTTTTAAAAGTAAATAAACTGTATATTTGAAGAAAATAAGTTGGCACTATTTAGGGTAGAAAGTGCACTGTCAGAAAGGTTCGTGTGAGACTCAAGCTTGATTTTGTTTGTTTTTTTCCCCCCACACCTTATTTGATTGATTTATTTCCAGGTGACCAATGAGATCACTCCAGTGCTGACGTATTCCTACATGGCTGTGCTGGTACCAGCCTTCCTGCTAACGGATCTTCTGCGTTATAAGCCGGTCCTGATTATTCAGGGCGTCAGTCAGGTGATCATCTGGATCATCCTGCTGCTTGGCGGTACGCTGCTTCAGATGCAGTTCATGGAGTTCTTCTACGGCATCACCATGGCCTGCCGTGTCGCCTACTCCTCCTACATCTTCTCCCTGGTCAACCCGGTCCTCTACCAGCGTGTGGCAGGCTACTCGCGCTCCTCAGTCCTCTTGGGGGTTTTCACCAGCTCTATCCTGGGCCAGCTGTGCATGTCCTTGGGAAACATCACCTTCTACACCCTCAACAGTATCTCTCTGGGGTTTGTCAGCTTTGGTTTGCTGCTCTCACTGTGCCTGCCCTGGCCTAAACGCTCCTTGTTTTTCAACCGGACGAATCAGGAGGAAAAGGAACTGGTAGAAGTAGCCACCAAATCTGAACTGGACAAAATGAACCCAAAAGATGGAGGGCCATCCTTTGCTGCCCCCCCATGTCCTGCGTCAACCTGGAAGGATTCTGTGTTTATGCAGATGCTTCTGGAGGTTAGAAATGTGCTGAAGAGGCCAAACCTGAGGCTCTGGTCCCTGTGGTGGGTGTTCAACTCCACAGGGTATTACCTGGTGCTCTTCTACGTCCACATCCTGTGGAACAAAGTCTACCCTGCCACTGAGAACAAGAACGTTTACAATGGGGGAGTGGAAGCAGCTTCTACATTGCTCAGTGAGACATTTCCAGACATTTTAAAAAATAGCTTTACACAAATAGTGTTATTGAAATTTAATTTGTTTTGTATCCAGCTCGGTGTTGCTGCAGCTTGCTACATTTAGATACAAAAAATGTAACAACTCGTGCAAAGTATAAACTAAATCTCAGCCATTGTCTAATTTAAAGGCTGGCAGGATGTATTTAGCTTTGCAGTGATAGCATCAAACAACTACTTAATGTAGGACACAATCTGCAGGACTTTTATTTTTTAGGAAGAAAAATCTATGCTAATGACTCTGATAGACCCCCATCTTCACGAGAGACTCGGATCGAAGCAAAAGTGTGATAGGAGATAATTGGGTGTCTTTTTTCCAGGAACCAATTTGAGAGGGTCAGGAAGAGCTGAAGAATGATGATATGTGTTGTTATTTAAGACTAAAGTAAGGACTTGTCCACACATATACAAAAGTAGCTTTTGGAGTTTTAGGCTTTTATTCAAAGCAAATTCACTTTCAGATAGCTGAAAAAGGATGGTTTGGGTCCAGGCTAGATATAAAAGATTGACATAGCCAATGTAATGACACCCAGGCTGGTGTTTTTGCTCACCACATCTAGTGTTTTTTGTAATCAGAGGGTCTAGCTGGGGAGTAGCTCACTAGCTTTGTTAGAAAGATGGTCACATCCTCAAACTTAATTACACTTGTGTATTGAGTCTGTTATGTTCTCTGTGCAAGTGGCCAGTGTTGTTACCAGCATACTGATGTGTGGGGTTCTTGGGTTGCTGTAGTTGGTCAAGTTTCTGTCTTTGAGTCGATCCCTTCTGTTCCAGTTTATTAGAAAAAAGGGAGGCAGAAGTAGCATCAGGGAATACTCAAAAGGAAACAATGGTACTGAATGGGCCAATCAATGTGACTGTGCCGTTACTAGGGCAGGGTATCGTCACTGATTTCTAGAATCAATTCGATTCCGATTCACAAGGTCCCGAATCGATTTGATCCACTATTCGATTTGAATCAGGGAAATTTTGCTTCAGTCAGAAATATTATAATTCTGATCACGTATCAGTACATTTCCATATTTTTATATCTGTAAAAAGCAAGCTGACACTTACGAGACTTTATCAAAGGTGTGAGCATCACAGCTGATGCCTTTGTGTCAAAGTAATTGAGGATAAAACAGAAAAACATGAAGGTGGTTTTCCTGGCCTGGGATTTTATGAAAATATTCTGCACTAGATCAAAAACGAAAGAAAACCGTTAATCAACATATGAACATTACATGATGCTGCTGAAGTCAAGCAGCATCATGTAGCCCCCCCAGTCATTACTAGGGCTGGGGCACATTATACCGTTCACGTCATAATGTCAGGCAATGATAAGAAAATGAAATATCGCAATAGAATATGGGTAAAACGTGCATGCGCAATGCCTTTGTTTTCATACGCACATGGCAGAAAAAGCATGGCGGCGACAGAGAACAAGAAGGGCAAAAGCGGATCATTGAATGAAACCGATGAACCAGAATTGTTTTTTAAAAACGTGCTACTTCAGTGATGTGCAACTGGTTTCGTTTTTGTCCGTCAGATAGACACCAAAGCACTTTTTTTTGTAGAATATGCAAGCGGGCCGTCCTTACTACCGTATTTTTTGGACTATATAAGACAACCAAAAATGTGATGTCCACATATGTGGACGCCAGGTCCGAGGAGGTTAATGCACATAAAAAACAGCTGCTTGTTTAAGTGAAAATAAATTGATGGGTTTTTTGCACTAATAATGTTGTGGAGTATTTTGTCTCGCATCAGTTAGATCATCAGTTAGATCATCAGTTATATCGTTATCCCAAATTTTAAAATATATATCGTGATAAATATTTTTGGCCGTATTGCCCTGTCCTAGAATTACATTTCTGGGGTGATGCATCAGTCCTCCCCCAGAGCCATGTTCTGTTGGAAGGTTTTTCTCCTGTTAAAAGGGAGTTTTTCCTTCCCACTGTTGCCAATTGATTACTCATAGGGGGTCATCTGATTGTTGGGGTTTTCTCTGTAGTATTGTAGGATCTTTACCTTATAATATAAAGTGCCCTGAGGTGACTGTTGTTGGGATTTGGTGCTAATATAATAAATACAGTTGAATTGAGCTGTAACCACTTGAAAGCATGCTCTAAAGTTGGGCTTTTAAATATGGGAGTCTGTGGGGACAAACCTCAAGTTTTAAGACCATTAGAGGATCTGTAGTTCTTGGAAATTAGAAGGGTGACAATGAGCATTTGACTTAGGATATCATCTATCAGTGCTTTTGATTGGGTCATATTGTTGGTTGAAAATACTTGACAGTATTGAGTATTATTATTATTATTATTACAGGGAAACACAGATTCAAGTCTGCTTTCTTTTGAATCTTTTTTTTTGGGCAAAATCAGATGAAATGAACTGTTGGATTTCTACCTATGATTCTGATGATTAGCTTTTTGAAATGATCTTTTAAATAATGTTTGTAAAAAAGGTATAGGCTCAAAATGGTTTTCTAAAAGTGTAGTCCTGAAACTGACGTGTGTGTTAACATAAACAGAAGAGCAACTGCAGTAAAGGGTGCGCTCAGCTGTTTGGGAGAAGCTTAATAATTGATTGGCCAGCCCTACTCTGTAAGGGATCACGTCAGCTTTAGACGGCAATAATTGCACTTTAAACAGTTGTAAAGATTAAAGGTAGCAGCTTCGATAATCTGGATGTCATGTGTAAGTAATGAGGTTTGATGACAAACGTCTGATAATTGAACAGTGATTAGGAGACTTCTGTGCTGCTGCTGATATTTTTATGACAAGAACAGACTAACTTATGTCCAATATGAATAACTTTCATTTTATTGGTGACAGTAGTGCTTAGCCGACTGCTTACTCAGTCCCTCTCTACAGATTACTTGCTCTGTGCTTTAACTTAATCAGTTTAAAGACTATAACCTGTTTATTTTTCTGTAGGTGCTATAGCGTCCTTTACAGCAGGCTTTGTCAAAATTCGGTGGAACATCTGGTCAGAGCTGGTCATTGGTATCATCACAGCGGTGCAGGCCGGTCTGCTGCTTCTTATGAGAACCACAGACGACATCTGGGTCTGCTATGTTTGTTATGTACTCTTCCGAAGCTTCTACCAGTTTCTGGTGCCTATTGCCACGTAAGTGCCAAAAACAATGTATTATTTAAGATGCATCTGCTTACGATGATCTTAGTTGTAACTATGCTGGATTAAAGTTAAGTGCTATAGGAATGTGGCCAAAACTGTGGTGCTTATTATCGGAAGATTTAGGCCAGAAATATTTGGGGGGAAAAGGATCAGAAGCTAAACCACAGCTGCCAATATCAACTGCCACGAGAAACTTCACTCTGAAACGACTTTTTTCTTCTTCTTTTTTTCAGTCTTTGCTCAAGCAGAATGAAGGATAACGATCTATTATAATGACATAAGCTGACATGTTTTGTGCTGTTGATCGTACAGAATAGGTCCTCTGGTGTACATTTTTTGTTGATGATTTATACCAAGTGATAACAGCATAATAATGAAGAAAATAAATGTAGCCCTCAGCTAAACTCGTAATGAAAACGTTAATGAGATAACACAGCGTTCGATCTGATAAGCCTCAGTACGTTGTGTCTGTCTACACTAGTATTTTATTGCTTTAACTTCATGTAATTTCAAATAACCTAAATACATCTACAGCGAGTAAGAACATACAGCATATCATACATTTATACAAGACAGTTGCTCATGCTGGATGTTATTGACTTGCCAGTTTCCAGATTGCATCGTCACTCACCAAGGAGCTCTGCGCTCTTGTGTTTGGTATCAACACCTTCTTGGGGACAGTGCTGAAGACCATTATCAGCCTGATCTTTACTGATAAGAGGGGCCTGGCCTTGGACGTGCACTCTCAGGTAAAACAGTCAAACAGCAGGGATGTTTCACACCAGTTGGATTTGAGAGTCCACATGCAGTAGTATAACTGGAGTTACAGTTGTCAGAAGTTTCGTGCTAATGGTGAATGTATGTAAAGTCCTGATAATTTTGGTCTGTTAATTTTTTTTTTAACTTAATGACTTGAAAAAAACAAGAATTGGGTGCACACGTTGGAATTTATTTTAAATTTTTTCTAATCCACAAAGGATGAAAAGTGTACGTACAGATTTCAGAAATATACATACACCCCCAATAATATTAGATTAAGTTTTAAATGTCTCTCAGTAAGTTGCACCTTGACCAGAGGTAGCTTTCAGTAAGCTGATCGCTCTTCTTGGCAGACTTGATATAGTTCAGTTAAAGTAGTTGGTTTCCTGGAATGGGCGCAGCTTTTAAGTATAGTCCACAGATTTCTTTTCAGTAAGGTCGAGGTCGGGGCTTTGGGATCGTCATTCCAGGAGCTTAATGTTAGGCTGCTTTATCCATTCCAAAACCAGTTTTAATGTGTTTGGGATCATTGTTCTGGTAGAACACCCAACACTGACCAAGTTTCAACCACCTAGCTGTTGATCTGAGGTGAAGTTGAAGAGTTTGGAAGTAGTCCTTCATTATTCCATCCAATTTGTGCAATGTTCCAGTGCCACCGACAGCAAAACAGCCCCAGAGCATAATGCTACCACTACCATGCTTGACAGCTCATACACTGCTCTTAGGTTTTGAAGCCTCGCCTTTACTCCTCCAAACATACCTCTTGCCATTGTGGTCAAAGACCTTTGCAAAGTGGTGAAAAATTAGAATAATTCGTGGTTACATGCAGTTGGAATCTGCAGTTGTTTAGAAATGACTCCAAGAGACCTCCCCAAATTGTGTAACTTGAAAATTCTCCCAAGTTGTTTACTGAGTTCATTGTCAAACAAATGCTGCTTATGCTGCATAGATAAACTCCCAGTTATAGTAAATCATGATCATTAATGAGAAGTTGGTAGGTAGCCATGTGAAATTAAGACATTGTAGAAACTTCAACACTTTATTAAAATATTCAAGTGAGGGTATGTCTATATCTGAGTCCGTATGTATAATTTCGACCCTCTGTGGGTTAGAGAAAGTCTAACATAAATTCAAACGTGTTTTCTGAAGATGTATGCTGCACAATCACTCCACCCTGGAAAAGGTTCAATGAAATCATTAAAAGCTCAAAATTATCATGACATTCATGCTCATGATGAGTTTTTGTAAACTTCTTACCACAACTGTATCCCTAATGTGTTCTATTGGTGTAGTTTTATGTTGTGCGTCAGGGCTGTCAAACTCAAATACACAGTGGGCCAAAATTCAAAACTGGATCAAAGTCGCGGGCTAACGTTAATATTCATTGAAAAAATCTTCCTCCAAATATAACAAGGAATCTTTTCTTATGGACTCAAACAGTATGGAACAAGCAAAGCTTAATACTAAACAATATATTTAACTTATATAAATGTATATATAACTTAATATTGCACACATGCAAAATCAAAGTTCCAATTAAATAACACATCAGTGGAATTCATTTCTTAAATAAAAACTGTATTTGCAGCCTTCTGAATTAAATGTTATCATTCATCATATTTTCATCATATTCTCCCACCTGCTCCTGTTTTTATTCTTTTAGCCATTTTGGGATCGGTAGCATGGCAGTATTTGCATGGTTGCTATGACTATTGTCAACAGAGGAGAGGGAGCTAATAAGTCCTGTTGTGACTGATGCACCAAAACACCAACAGAGCATTCTGGGAATTGTAGTATTAGCAGTACATGACCTGTGTAATCGCAGCAGGCCAGCTCTAATAGTTTTGTATGGCTTCACGGGCCAAATGCAATTAGGCTGCGGGCCAGAGTTTGACAGCTGTGTTGTACGTTAAAACATCTGGACAGCTCCCTCAGTTGTATGTGGAAGAACCATACACATCCATGGGTGTAACCCACATGCTCAACTCTGCTGCTCAACCCACAGTGTAATCAACCAAGCAAAGATTTCCTTGCTTTTGGGGAAACTTGTTAGGAGACTCGTTTCTGCTCCCTCCTGACAGCTGTCAGTGGCCATATTTCCAAACCATTATTTTGCCATTTAACAGGTTCTTTACTTCATTATCGTATTCAAATGAGAATAGTGTTGTTGTTTTTTTGCCAGTTTAGTGGAAATTGGATTAAAATTTTGTTTGGGCTGGGATCTCATGAGGTGCAGGATAAAAAGCCTCATCCATTGCACATCTCTCTTACAGTTTCTGGTGTACTTCTTTTACTTCACTCTTCTTACTGTCGTCTACTTTGCCTGCGCTGCTGTGGTCATCTGCCGTCACTACCGAAACGAGCGGAGGGGAGGAGTAACCAGGGACCAGCCCACGCCCACGGAGCTCAGCCCTGTGGTGACAAACAAGGAGCTAGAAACTTTGTCTAATGGCAAAAGTGCCTAACCCTAAACACAAGAGGAGAAACGTGTAGTTCCATAACATTGTTAGACCAGTTTTACTAATAAGCTCGTGAGAGTCACTGAGATCAGTGTTTTAGCCCCTTCATACACTCAGGTGGGTTCAGTGATGCCTCTGAGCCTTAATCAGAAGTGCCTCATGTGCAGCGACTCCAAGAGTGCAGCAGCTTGTGTCTGAGGAGAGATTTTCTAGAGTAATTTGCTTTTAAAAAAGTTACTTTGGTGTTTTTAGACATTGCTAAAGCAGCCTGGGACCTTTAATATCACAACCAAGATTTCTTAGAAAACACGAAACAACCTTGTGACATGCTGGAGTGATTCTTTTCTATAGTCAAGGCTCACGAGACACGACCACACTTGTTTTTAACAAAACACTCCTATTGTACTTTGTTACAATTACTGTGTTAGTGGCATTTTTAAAGAACATGTGAGTATGAATGCACCTTAGTTATTGATGATGATTATCACAGTCTGACATCAGTGTTATGGGATCGGTAAGATCTTCACTGCCGATCATTTCAAGCAGCACACTGCAGATTTTGTGCAGTGTACTCTGCTCAATGCAATGTCGTCTGGTGTCTGTTTGTATTGCAGGAGCAGCACCACAGACGATTGCAATAATCTTCATTTGATACAATCATTTCTTTTTTCTTTTTTTAGGACTAATTAACATTTATACACATCTTTACAGAAAATTAAAACCTGTTCTCAATTTCAGTACCTCAGTCAACTGGAGCTGCTCGTGAGTTTGTCGATAAGTTCAGTAAACAACAAACCAAGTAAAATTTGTAAAACCTGATTTTATTTATTTTTGGTCAATGAATGGCTGTTTTTCTTTCTTTGCTTGTGTTTAACATTTAAACATGCTGGGTCAGTGCTGTAGAGCAGTGGCTCTCAAAGCTGGGTCTGTGATTCTTTGGAAAAGCAACATGTCAAGCTTTTTACTTCCACACTTAGTAACTTTGGCTCAATAGAAGAGCGTGTTACATATCAGAAGATTTAAACATTAATAGGAAACTTAATGAGGGGATTCCTTTGAAAGGCTCTCCCCTCTAAATGGCCACTGACCCCAGAGAATTTCAGAGCCCCTGCTCCGGAGAACACTAGAGGCAACAGGAAGTGCAGCGGAAATGTTAAGTAGGTTTTAAAATGACTTTGCTTGATCACTTAAACAGAAGATTGAGTTATTTCTTACAGCAGATGCAATGGTAGTTTGTGTTTACTGCATTGAGTATTCAGTGGGATGATACATTTACTGTATAGATTTGTTCTCTAGCTTCAGTTCAGTGTTAAGTGCATTTTCACTTGTGTTGTAAAATCAGGAGTATCTGCACTGCCATTGTGTCGTTTTAGTGTTTGAAGGCAGAATTTTGTGATTGACATCATTGCTGAAAAATGACTATGAACATGTCTGAGTGCTGTAACAAGGAAATGAGATGTTTGTTTTTTATTCACAGATAAATTACTGAGTGGATAAAAACATGCTGCCTCTGTCTTTTTTTGAGTGCAGTAAACCACATTTACAATTTGACACCATGTGATAGAGCTTTAGTGTCTTTAGTGTTTAGTGTTTTTTAAAACCTCTTGTTTTATTGTCACAACAATCGCTTGCTCGGATCAGCTGGGGGTAAGTTTGGGCTTTCAAAGCTGTTGCCAACAAGCAAGATGCAGCATTTCCTCTGCTGGACAAACTTTACAACGTCAACACTGACTATGATTGAAAGGCATTTCTCCTCTTTCTACTTTAAAAACGTTCATTCATCTGACATTGTAAATGCTGATACCGATATCATTAAATACAATAGCCAATATATCAGTCTGACTCTAATTTATAACTTTTTGGAGCTAAGATTCGGTTGAGACCGAGCCACTCGGTGGGCAGGAAAGTTGATGGGAAAGCCGAGGGATGCATTTATCAAACGGGGCATTATCTCTGTGACACTATCCTCCTGTGTACGTCTGCAGCAAAAATATAAAATGTAGATGTAACTCAAAAAAATCTCTGTACTGATATGAGTTGATATTTTGTTGATTTTAGGCATTTAAATAGCCGATATTCTTGTAACCAAATTTGCAGATATGAATACAGTCGAGTGTTCAGTTTTAGTTGCTTCTAGTTACACTGTGTTAAATGACCAGATATACAGATGTTTGCTCAGCTGCAGTTGCTGCTCACAGCGTGATCACACAGAGCTCTTTGATTCTTATTTATTTTTTGTACATTTCTTAGCAGGAGGCCACTTATTAACTGGACTGTTTGTACAGCTGGTGTGATGATCCTCCCGTGTGATGAATGTTTAGCCTGAGAATCTGCACATCACCTGGTTTCTGCTTCTCTAAAAGTACAAAATAAATTCTGAAATAAATAATGTTGAAAAGTACACACTGAATCCCCCTTTTTCAAGTGATTATAACACAGTGGATTGTTACTGTAATATGAGTAAACAGGCCCAGATTCACATTTTTTTGTGTTACCTTTATACTAAATTCATTGTCATTGTAGAGGCTAAGCCTACGCTTGAAGCCACTGAGGTGGTCGTTAACGGGGGTGACGCGATGTCACTGGTATGCATGAATTAAGTTCACAGTCCAATAACTCCAGCAGTATGTATCTTGTCCTTTTTGGTCTTTATTCCGTATCGACTTAGCATAACAGCGACACACCTGACGCCGATTACGTGCGTCTACCTTAAATACCTTTACATTACATAATCAAAACAGAAAAAGGTGACCTCTAGTGACCACATAAGGTATTAACCCAAGAATGGCTCCTACAGTCATGTTGATGTTTAAAGGAAAGACTGATATTGTAAAAACACCTGGGGACAGATCATGGTCTCGGTAAATCTGCTTTAAGGAGTAAAACATAATCTGGAGCCTCGGGTGATGTTTCTTGGCCTGCTCGCAAAGAAAAATCCTTCTTTTGGAACTATGTATTCATGCGCCATAGTTTTCACATTTCTTTTACATAGTTACCTTATGTGACACATTTGTGGTTAATTGGGTGAGTAGTTTTCATAGTCTTCGTGTGCTTTTCTTATCTGGTTCATTTATTGTGTCTATGGCCACTACGTTATACACTACGGAGAGTTTACACTGTACAGCACCGTGCTTCAGATGTGCTGTATTAGTAAAATATGGAGATCGAAGGCACCCTGACTTCAATCATTGGGTGAAAATCTTCTCTCAAAAAAGTTTGTGGATTTATTTATGTTTATTTATTGATGGCCGGATCATGATTCCTCATAACTAAATGAAGTGGTTTCCACATGTAACCGGCTGCTGTTTTCCATTAAATAAAAGCTTAATCAGAAGCTACAAGATGAATTATGTTCCTGTATTAATGAGACCATGTACGTTATTCTCTTGCATTTTTAACAAGGCATCCTGGTTATTCTACAAAGAAACTAGCAAACCGCTGTCATCGGTCAGACTGCACTGATTTGCTGCCCTCAAGTGATGTGTTTTTTTTTAGCAACACAAATTTTGAATTATTACCTTTACCAATAAACTCAGTGATTACTCTGTTTGTGTGTCTGTACAATTACAACAAAAGCTTATGGATAGCTTTGCGTGAGCAGCAGTGGAAGATGGAGACATTTGTACGTTTCACAAATAATCATCAAAGACAAAAAAATAGAATCATTACCTTGTTACTATGAAGAAAATACAAAGTGATCTACATCCACGTGTCCTTTTGGATCCAGTGATTGCATCGTATAGAGGAAATAATCAGTATTGTGTACAGACTGTTTTTGTTAAAGTGAAAACTGGTAAAAAAAAAAGGTTTTTATTAAACATAGCTCATAAAGACACATATATGTTTACATTATTTGCATCCTCACACACTGCAGCTTATACTTGACTTCCAGTTAGTTTGTGCCTGACAAAAGTCTAACGCTACAGCTACAGAACATCCTCTGCACACACAGTAGGTTTGAATGAGACAAAACATTGTTACAAACAGAATTAAAGTTCAGTGAAACACAGAAGATGAGCTAAATAAGATCCACGGTCAAAGAAGGATTAATAGAAATAATAAGACACGTAAATAAAAAACCTGCAACTTTGTCCAAGCTTCAATTTTATTAGTAGCGCACACATATGCATTAACTGTACAAAGCATTGACTGTTGTTTGACCCTGCGGCCCAAACCAAACAATGGCGTCCCTTTCCCCTCCACACACACCGTCAGTTTAAGGTCCTCCTCACCTCGAATCACAGATCATCCCCCAGCGTACCTCTTTAACGTGGTCGACGTGCCATTCGGTGTCAGGTATGCAGTCAATCACAGGAAATGGCACTTTGCTGAGTTTCCTGCTATTGTTTAAATCTTTACCTCTTTGGAAACTCCTGGAACGAACCTCATGAAGATGTGAGATCTGCTTCAAGCCTGAAAACCTTTATGACTCCTGTTATATCTCATGTATGTGTTATTGTAGGGTCTGCTTTACAATACAACGCCACTTAAGGTGACTGTTGTTGTGATTTGGTGCTGTATAAACAAAGTTAAATTGAATTTTTAAGCTTTTTGGGGCAAGTTAAGTTTTTACATCTAACTACATCTATAGTGTTTTAAAGTAAAAGGAAAAGAAAGAGTTTATCTTCACTGCAACGATGCAGTGCAGAAGATGACCAAAGCTGATTCTTGATCAATATCCGATTATGGTTTCTGTTCAGTTCTTTGCATCAAAAACAATCAGAAAACAGCTTTAACTTCTTACAGTAGCCAAGGTCACATGACTTGTTTGCTTAGGTTTCTGCACAGATACAAACTGTTTAAGTGCATTTGTGTTGTTTGGATCCCACTGCTGCTCAACTTCCACGCCACGTCTGC